TACCTCTTGTTGCTCCGAGACACATATCTTCTCATTTCTCGTTTCTGATCGTACTTTCGCGTGGTACTTTCCTTCCAATGTTTCGCCGATGGCCATGCACATGAAGTTCACCTAGTATTCGTTGAGAGCGATCAGAAAACTTTTAGTTTTAACACGTGTGGATGGTTGAATAGAGCTGAATTTTATTACTTTCCGAAAGAGACCAACTGCTTTAAAATCGTTAAGTTTAAGCCTTATATAAAAATCAACCCCTAAAAACGATATATCGCTCATAGTTCAACTAACACAAAGACTGAAAATTTGTGCTATAATTGGAGACGAAATTTTCTTGATAATGAGTCCTGTTTTGTGCTTCCGAACTACTGTTGCGTCCGAGCTATATAACAAAGTCAAGAAAATCAGGAAAAATGGGCAAAATTAGGACGACTCAGGACGCTTTTAAAAAATCAGGAAAAAATCAGAAAAGTAGTGTCGCTGCGACTCCTGATAAGATAGATAGATATTTATCTCTCAAGAACAGAAGACAGCATTTATGTCTGAAAAAATCTGATACATATTTTGAAAAGAAGTATGATTATGTTCAACAAGATTTTCTACTTCGGAAGATTTCAACAATAAATATAATTATCTCGCAAATTCTCGACTATTTCAAATCACTCGTATTTATTCTAAGGTATGGCATGGTATTCAGATCCAACCCTATCCAATCCTAACCATTCCGATCCAATCCTAGCCATTCGAATGGCTCGGAATGAGTTTTTTCCCCCTTATGAAGAATCATGGTTGAATCGATCTGATACGCGTATCTTTTTTTTTTAACAAATAACAATCGTGGAAAGCAAAAGATTTTTTCATGTTCAGATGTCAGTCACTGCCGGGTCGACTACCGGGTATGCTCTAATTTTGTACCCGACCCGGTATTTTTTTTTACACCCGGCACCCGACCCGGCTGCAGGACATTAATCTTCACGAAATTTCACAACTTTTTCGAATGCCGATCCAACCATCCGACCTTAATGAGTTGAATTAAACATTCCCAAAATTGAGACATTTTTCTTGGAAAAAAGTTTCCTCACAAAAAACGATTCACTGGCGACATTTCTTCGACAATTACCAATAACAGATAAGTTCATCGTATTGAATTATGAAGTCTTTTTCCGGAGAAAAGCATGTCAGTGAATAATAATCTGGTGTTTTTATTTTCATTCGGAACCTTTTGTTTCAATGGGAGAAGGGAAAAGATATTTGGAGAAGTTAAAATCATTTTTTTCGCCTATCCAAAACGGTCGAATTCATTTCATCAAAATAATATCTCATCACATAATTGCTAACAATTTTTTAATCTTTATATAAGAAAAAGAACTTTTGTTTTTCAATTTACATACCTTAAATAACATATTTAGCCGAGCTATGCTAAAATGGAAAACATTAAGAAGGTCGGCGTCGGTCTGGAGCTAGTCTTTGCATTAAAGGTTTAGGTGTGTAGATGTGACCTAATAGATGATCTACATCCCCATCCCCATATCCACACCCACAAGTGAAAAGCATAATATTTTCAGAGTTTATCTCTTTTTTCAATCAAAAAATAGGCTTAACCTGTTCAAAGTAACATTCCGAGGAAAGAACTCATGAAATATTTCATTTTTTTACGACTAATACAAAAATTAATTCTAAGAAAAGAATGTTCGAACAGGTGTTGTTTACTTTTCATTTATTCACATCCTTCCAAATGTTGTCAATCAATTCATCAATAAATTAAGTGACTCTTGATAAAAATCATACGAGACAATTTTCAAAAGTCTTTCAGTATCGAAAAGAACGAAAAAAAAATATCATTAAGAAAATTGTTACAATTGTCAATCTCGTTTATTATACATTTTTCACTGAATGAAAATGAATGTTCACTTATTAAAAACATCATTCTCCTTCATAGAAAAATTCGAATGCTAAACTTGCATATATTTTCATCAGATTCAGACTTCTATCGACATGAATGGACTCGTTTCAAAAGAATTTATAAGCTATTCAGACTGTCAAACTCGATCAAGTTTTTCATACTAATTAATCGATAAACATAGGAATTTGTTGATAATTGATGCAATCTTATTCCGATGCTTTTATGACACACAAATTTCGTTATATTTAAGATAATTGAATGAGATTCGATTCGAATCATAAACGAAGAATCTTGAGTAAATCACTGAAATTATTTTCTTTATAAATATTCATATGAATTCATTTTAGATTAAGATATACACAGAATAAATTCTATAATTTGCGTGATTTTCTTTCAAAGAAAATGGCAACTGAAAATGAATCAAATTTATGTTCAATTTGCAATAAATCTTCAGCTAAATCCTTCTGTATTGGATGTAAAAAATATTTTTGTCGAAAGGATTTCAAAGAACATGAACGACAACTATCGATAGAATTCGATAATGAAATAGTGAGATCTCATGATGAACTTCTTGAAGAAATACAGAAATTAGAAAAATCAAACTATTTATCATTGAATCTCTTTGATCAAATTGAACAATGGAAAAATGCAACAATCAACAAAGTAAAAAAAGCAGCAGAAAAAGTTCAACATGAACTTACTGAATTAATAGAAAAACAAAGAATAACAATTATAAAACAACTTGAACCAATAGCAAAAGAAATTCGTTCTCTTCGAGAAGAAGAAAATATCGTTGAAAATGATATTGATCGACTTAGACAAAAAATCAATGAAATCCAACAAAAACTTAAACAATTTACTCAAAAAGATACAAATAAAATCATTACTGTTAACAATGATGAAATTGATTGGAATCGACTAATTTACATTCGACAACAAGAACAAAACTGTGAGTATATTACACTAAAATATAGAAAAGAAATTCTCCAACGAATCTGTCGAATGTTATTTGTCATTCAAGGGTGTGGGCGAAAGGAATAAGGCCACATCTACATCTCGTACATCCTCATCTAAGACTGCGTCTGTTGTGAGTTAAAATTAAACTCTTAAACAGATATTTTTTGCAAGCTAAATACTCATAATAACAATCGACACTCGCTTTAGAAAGAAATAGTGACATTTTTTTGTCGCTGATGCTTGAAAACTTTTTCTGTTCAAGCTAAAAATGAAAGAGATCGAATGATTAGCTCTGAATTGTAACTTCAAATGTGTTTTACGCTAACATTTGTTTCTTTAAAGTAGTAAAAACTTGAAGATTTGATACATAAATAGCAAACATAGCATCTGTCATACAATGATATGTGTAAATTGACGTTTTATGCTGAAGAACAAATACGATGAGAACATTTATTCAGTTGAATATCCAATTGAAAAATGTCAAAGTATTGTATTTCCGAACTACACTTTCGAATGTTCTCATTAGACATTCAATGAACATTATAGCTGCTCATAACTAATATTTGTAAAGTGACAAAATATCTTAAGAACAAATATTGTCAAGAGTGAATCTGGCAACGATTGTTCATCTGAAGAAGTTCTTTCGTCAATTCATGAATAGAAATTGAAGTAATCGATATTCTATGGTTGTCTATTCAGTTACTTGAAGAACTATATAGAAATTCTCAGTTGAAATTATTACAAATCCAATCATTTAGTGAGAATTCCTTTTGTTCAAAACGTGATAGTACACATTTTAAATGCTTTACACAACATCAATGCAAATCTTGATTACGACGGAGAATAGTTCGAAGAATTCTCTCTCGCTGTTGAAATAAATACTCTTTTTCACAAAGTTCGATGAGAACTGAATTCGAGATTTTGATTTCAATATATGAAAAATTTACAAGTTAAACCTTCATCATTTTTGAAAAAATGAGTTGAAGTGTTAAAAAGCAATGATTCGTCAGAATTAGGAAAAGAAACTATTTAGATCTCTAGATTCGATCCTATCGACTTGTAATAGAAGAAAAAGATACTAATTATTTGAGATGCACGTTTTTTGTTTATCGTCACATATGAAATTGATGTCGTCGTTTTCTAATGATAATATATGATTTCAATTACATGAAGATTATCATCGTTAGATATTTTTCAAAGGGTGGGTGTGGGTGTGAGTGGGTGTGGGTGTGGGGTGTGGGTGTGAGTGTGTGGGTGTGGG